ATATAAAATGAAATAGGCGGAATACGAACTTTTATGTGCAAACTCTCATGACATACGTATCTAACAATGGTGACTGTAGTGAATGAATATACATCCTCATTCCGATAACAAATCAGATATTTTCTTTCATCATTATGAAACTAGTTTATAACAGTTTTTGTGTTAATTCTGATAACTAGTGAAGTAAACAATCTCTATTAAGGAATTTGTAGTCCTACAAAATTTGTTTGAATATTACACAATTGTATTTCACTTAGTAGGGGGTATAGTCTGAACGATTGACGAACCCATTGTTTTGTTTCCATCTCACTTGAATGATTCCGCCATGTTAGTACTTCATTTCAGCTTACATTAGTAAGTAGTAGGTATTGTATACCGAATGTTTAATAATCTGACTATCAGATATCCTTTTTCTTGCTAACTGTTGATATGCAGAAAGCACAATGCTGTCTATCATGTAAATTTTAAAGCCCACCTTAGTAGAAAAATAAAGTAATTATGGCATCAATAAAATATTTTGTTATTTTCTTTTATTAAGATAATTCAAACTGAAGTTACAGTTCATTGAAGCCTGCATTAAATTCTCATGAAATTGAGCATATGTTGAAATCCAGTTAGCTTCATTCTAACCAAACGGTTATAATGGAATTACTATCATATGCACCGGTTCAGTTCATAGATAAGCAGATGAAAACGTGGTGTACCACTGTATGATTTTCTTCTGGTTAAGACTAAACTGACTGTACTATAAAATGAACTGGCTTTAATTTAATCCGACTACTCATCTTAAATGTCATAAAGTGAATACTAACCGCCCAGTGTTTACTTACAACTTGATTAGAATATGGACATTTCAACCTGAATTGAAACAATTTAGTAGAATTTTAGATTTTCCCGTCGATTGATTGGACCAAAGTGCTCGGTCTCAGGTTGACATGTCGCCTTCTTGTGCAGATGCTTCGTCGATGTCTCGGCATTTAATTAGTATTTAATTGGTGGATGATGACTAGCAGTGGAATCCAGGATGCGCATTTCGTCCTATTTGGGACTCGTCAACTGGATGTACCTGCATTTCTCAGTGAGTGATGATGTTCCCACTGAGGCCGACATGTCAACCTGAGACCGATCACTTCGGTTCAATCAGTCGACGGGAAAATCTAAAATTCAATTAAATTAATATGACCCGTTGCACAAGAGGTGGCTCTCGTGGCCCAAGTGGTCTAGTGGACAACGCTTTGGCGTTTGAAGCTATGGGCACTGGGTTCGTTACTCGGTGGGAACATCATCACTCACTGAGAAATGCAGGTACATCCAGTTGACGAGTCCCAAATAGGACGAGATGCGCATCCTGGATTACACTGCTAGTCACCATCCACCAATTAAACATGAATTGAAACAAGTTTGAGAAACAGCTGAAACTATGAGGCAAAGTTCCTTCTTAAACCTCTAATACTTAGTGACATGTACGCACAAACTTGTATCAAATCAAAAGCAGACGTATTACTTCTTATGTTCAGTGGTTCAGCAGTTCATAATGTAGAAAAAATCGCCATTTAGACATTTAGAAAACAGAAAGATTGAGTGAAGAAATATAAATATATAAACGTAAACTGGTAAAGTGTCTGGTTCATAGAGCCAGGTTAATCTGTTCAGACGACTGCCTCAATGAGAAGCTTACGATTATTAGAGAATTACTTAGAAAAAATGGTTATCCAGATAAATTTATTGAGAAAAATATGAGTTCAGCACCAAGGAGAGTCAGTATAGAAAGAGTTCTGAAAAAACCAATGTTCATAAAACTGCAGTTCCTCGGTGACAACATCAGCGAAATAATAACACAGCGCCTGAAGAATGCAGTTAAGAGACCTTATTATGCAGTAGAAGTAAGTTGTCTCTTCACAACCATCCCTATTCTACGTTCGAGAAACAAGGATAATCTACCTAAATTTGCCTCCTCTATGTGTATCTACCAGTTTGACTGCGGTTGCGGAGCCAGCTACATTGGGCGTACAATTAGGCAGGTTCATCGTCGTATTTCCGAACATCATCCAACATGGTTAAGCAAGGGACAAACAAGATCTATTCGTAGCTCTATTTTAGCACACCTTGTAGATACTGAGCATAAGGTTGATGTTAATACAGCATTTAAAATTATCTATCGCATTCCAACTAATCTTAATTTTGCTCTACGAGTTCGTCTTCTACAGACAGCTGAAGCAATAGGAATCCACCTGAAGAAGCCAAACCTGTGTGTTCAGAAGAAATTTGTACAGCCACTTTCCTTGCCTTGGCTATCGTTACATGAAGTGTAAACCGGACTACTTCGCCCCCCTCCCCCTAAACCTTTAAAATTATAAAAATTATAATTGTCTAAATTATTTTTTCTGACCAATTCATCTTTAATTACGTGTTATCCTTCTAAAATTAATTAGTTCATAATATATAGCCTTGTAGGCCCATCATCGCTACTTAATTATAACTAAGACTATTTTAAACTTGAAGTAACTTGATGGATGATGCTTGTCATTCTGTTTGAAACCCCTCGTCTGAATGCACCAGTGAGACTCGAACCCAGTATCTATCGTCCCAAATACAGAAGCGTTATCCACTAGACCACTTGGACCACGGTAGCCACTTCTATGTACAATGAAAATCAGTCATTATTTGTTTTTAATTGGACTTTGATTCTCCCACTGACTGATTGTACCGAAATATGACTAAATGAACATCCCGGATCACCTAAAATACTTCAAGTTAATCCTCGGACATCTTCGAAGTGTCCGTACTAGGAGCTGACATACTAACAGTGGTCGAACATTTCGTTCCAATCAACCAACGGGAAAATCAAATAAGATTATTTCAGATGTCATGATTTAGCATTCGAAGTTGCGGAAACTAATCTCGAAGAAACCCCACGAACATTTGTATTTTGATGTGTGGGGTAAATTATCTTCGCTTATATTTATTTAAGAGAGCACAGAAACAAAACTGTCTGTAAAGAGCTAGTGTAAGTAATCACTCAGGAACAGTTAATCTCGTGATCATTTATGGATGAAGCAATCTAAATCATTGTATTACACCTGACTACTTCAGATGCTGAAGTATCATTTAACACGTTTTAATATCTCAGCTAAAACGACTGACAAAAAGGCTACACCGAAATGTCTACCTTTCGAAAACTTTATTTTTCAGCTTTTGAATACTCACGAGATGCCTATTTTGTCTCATTTCTTTGCTTTGTGTAAAATTAATTTACAGCCGTAGTCAGTAAAAAAACATTCCTGGACTTAAATAATTCTCATTTTGAACAAAGAATGACAATCTTTCTATTCTAATAGCTAAACTATTTACCTGTAGTCCATACAACCCTGTCTCTTTTATATGCTTATCGCTTATTATCGGCGCCTAAATTTTTTGAATAAGTCATTTTATTGATGTTAAAGTAGAATTTTGCCACCGTAGTAGAAAATATTTTCTCTATTACTCCATGTATTGAGTATCTCAGAATGTTAATAGGTAGTGCTTTAAACACAATTTACTGTTCCAAGTGATTTCTGCTGCAAGAGTATAGAAGCTTCATATACTACTGAGACGATAATCAAATTATCTCTGTTGAAGATATTCAGTCCTTACATAACAAACAGAGACTCTGTTTTTGTTCTTAACCTGGTGTTCTAATCGTTCCATCTGATTTTAGAGATTTCCACCTCTTTGCATTTTATTATTTAATGGTGAGTTGTTGCACACATAGCTGTGGTCAAGGTTTTCTTTGGACGTCAGGCTTTACAAGGGTGAACTACATTTCCTTTACTTCATTCTTTGTCAGTTGACAGATGAATTCATGCCTGGTGAGTACACTTCAAACTAGTTCGTATACAGAAGTATTTTATCTGGTAGACTCAAAAAGAACCTTAAACCTGCAAACTTATTTCTGAGTTCATAGATTTAGACATCTTATTTCTAGGTTTTTTCAGCATATTTTCAAAACTTCGTCTTTGTGTGGTAACCATTTATAAATCTAAAATTGGTTACAGGATTTCATTATGAGCTGACATTGGTTAGAGAACCACTGGAGAGTCCTGAAGACTCCCAAACTAGGCTGACGAAACAGCTGTCCAGTACTCTCAGGTTTTCCAATGGTTCTCTAACCAATGTCAGCTCATGATGAAATCCTGCAACCAATCAACCAAATCCCTACAAACCAATACTTGAATATAAATGAGATGCTCACTGGCGACTGGTCCTATTCAGGTAGGTGGTTACCTGCGGTTCTAGTGGGAAGTCGTGACCAGTAGGGTGCAGCAGGTCGGATGTGAGGACGAATACTTGACGATGACATTCCTTAGTGGTCACGTCATATCATGAATAAGCAGTAGTTGGAATTCATGGACTGGCCGTTGGATTGGGTCCGAGTGGCTTAATGGTCTACGAGCTAGCTCGCCTTGCAACTAGAAGGTCATGGGTTCGAACCCCGTTGGGTGCGTACTGATGAAGAGTTCCAAACTGAGACGAAACAACTGTCCAGTACTCCCTGTAGGTTTTCCAATGGTTCTCTAACCAATGCCAGCTCATGATGAAATCCTGTAACCAATCAACCAAATCACTACAAACCAATACTTGAAACAGTTTCACTTATTTTGTGCAATTTAATACTGAAGTGTTGTGGCAGTTTCAAATTCAATGTACGTATCACTTCTGATGGATTTAGGTAAAAGCCAAAATGAGGTCAATGTGTACACTAGATGCAATCAACTAATATCCTTTGAATAACTAATTACTTATGTATACTATTAGAAAAACAAATAGTCTCTACTATAGTTCAAACTGGCTTACGTTCACACTAGCAAACAGTCTGATATTTGTATTGGTTTAATCCCTGCTGTTAATGCCTTCCTTAAGATCCACTTAATAAAGAAATCTGTTCATTCTGTAAACGATATCAGCATACATGTTCACTTTCATCTCATTTCTTTTTCATATTTGCTTGAATGTTTGTTTAGTCTCGCCGTCGCTGATCTCGATGGAAATGGTCTAGCTGATATTATTGTTGGTGCACCATACTTTACTAGACATCAAAGTCAAGAAACACTTGATATTTCTGTTAATACAGAAGAACAAAATACACATCATCAGGGTACTCAATGGTCAAACTTGTTACCAGATATTGGAAGAGTTTATATATTTTATGGCGCATATTTAAATTCTTCAAGTTCACGATCAGATATTCCAGATTATTTTAATCGAGAACCAGTGATTTTAGAAGGACCAAAGTCTCCTAAGGGGCGATTTGGACACGCTGTTTCAAATATCGGTGATGTTGACAGTGATGGTACTGATGATTTGGCTGTCAGTTGTCCTTATTGTAATGATCCTAATGGGGAAGTTGATAAAGGTGTTGTGTTTATTTACTTGGGAAAGAAAGACTCCATACTTGATGCGGAACCATTTCAAGTAAGTTATAGATGGCAATTTTAAAATCTTAAATGCAAGAAACTGAAATCAATATTTAGCAGATTCTAATTTGGAAACAAACGCCTTATTTCTAGTTTCATTGTGAATCTGAAATCTTACAGTCATTGGGGAAGATAAGTTCGATCCCCTACCGATGCACTCCTTTGCCTCGCTAAGCCAGTAATAAGACTGGTAAAGAGAGAAGGTTGGACATAAGGCTAGCAACCTCAGCCTATAAAAGCAGATACCTCCGCTACTGAAACTTCAAGCCTGTAGCTTGAAGCCCTAAGTTCCACTGCAAACGCAAAGAAAAGAAATTCAAATTTTTAGTTACTTTCATTCAGCAGTAAATGTATTCGTGAAAATTTTGACGATAAACTAATGAACTATATATTACTTGTATTATCTTTAACTTTAATTACTAATAGATACTAATAAAATATGAGGTTATTTTTAAAAATGGATCAATATACTTTTAAGTGTTTTAGTGTTGTCTGAACTGAATGGCTTGATCGATAACCTTTAGGCTAACTGCAAAGAAGTTGCTACTTTCAAGTTTCAACTTTAAAAATAACCTAATAATACAATATAAGGTGATCTTATGTGAATGCTTAAGGGTCTGTTGTTGGAGTGATTGGCTTCCGATCACTCCATTTGTCCTTATTCACTTATTGTAGATAATTGCTATAAGAGCATGAATAACCCATGATTAGATTTCATTTGAGGTCGATGTTATCATCCAAAAAATTAAATATTTATCATTAACTCTAATTTTGTTCAAATGAAAAGACAATAGCATGAAATACCAAAGTTTTTAGGAATATTAGGAACTTCAAACTATACCGAAAACAATAAATTAAAAGTGATTTTTGATTATATTGAGGAGTTATTTGGTTTTAGATCAATTTGCGTTACTTGTTGATCGATCATGTTGCACCAAATTGTTCGATCTCTGATGATATGTTGGTTCCTAGTATGGATACTTCAATGATGTCTTAGGATTAGCGTGGGTTTGTTTGGGTTGACGACGAATTATAGTGAGATTCGTCCTACCTGGGATTCCTCATCTGGGTCTACTTGTATTGCGAGTTAGCGATGGCATTTCCAAAGAAACTAAACATTTCTTTCCAACATAATCAACCAACTGAAAACGCAAATTAACCTAAGGACTAATAAATAACTGATGACCGTTGCAGAAGAGGTGGCTCTAGTGGTCCAAGCAGTCTAGCAGATAGCACCTTGATGTTTGAAATGGTAGGTACAAGGTTCGAGTCCCAGAGGGAATACCACAGCTCACTTGGGATCGCAGATGCATTCAGCCCAAATAGGACAAAACGTGCATCCTGGACTCTACCACTATTCTACATCAATTGAAATAACTTTATGTTGAGGTGTGTTAGTAACAGTTCAAGCTACTGATTAACGTTTTTTGCTAAGTTAGGTGGTGAGATAATAGATTTGCCGTTACTGATTTCATAACAAAGTCATACATCATTATGGTTTTGAATTTGTAACTTAGTTTACAAGAATCAAACAATATTCTTTCATTCACTAAATCGGTAGACAAAATTTGAATGCATAAACTGAAACTGTGAAAGGGACATCAGGTATGTATGATGCAATCATATCTCATGCTGGTATCTAGGTAAAGACTGAATTCTTCAGTCCTTTAACTAACTACCTTTACACTGAATTTTAAAATTATTAATGAATGCAAACAGGTGACTTAGTGCTTAGAACTTCACTATCTCTAAGATAAATTAAATTAGCTTTGGTTGACAATTTTACTTTTGTTTTAAAAATAAAACTGGAATTCTTGTTCAACATTCACTTTTAATTATATTATATAGATGAATTATAATTAAGCTAAGTATGAATTCATTCAGACATGTTTAATTCAGAAAAATGGTTGTCAAGACTGTTAGATGTGCTTTTTATAGCATTCAAAAAATCATAAAACAGTTAATTAAAATACTGTGAATAATTACCAAACTTTGGTGCTAACTAACTACTGCATAATTTAATTAAACATCACTATATTCAAACGAGAACGAAACGTCAGTTGTGAAGCTGACCATCAGTATTTTGATGTCGACGTTTAGAAGACTGGAACCCAAGTTGCACACTGTTGTAGTGAGAGACGATACCACCTAGCCTTTCATGCCCACGACTGACCTCCTATAAAACTGCACTGAGTACCAACACCAAGTACTGCACATATGACATTGATTTCTGTCTGCCGAGTAATCACTGTAAATCTGCAGCCTGCTTAACATCAGTAATGTTATCTTCGCCTCAGGAAATTCGTCTGTAGAAGAATAACTTTTGCAAATTAACGATGACGTAGAAATGCTATAGATTTTGTTCGATCAACTGACAGGAGGTTGTAAATGATCTACGCATCTTAACTTTTTATCATCGATTACCAAACAGTATCTGCGATCTCAAAGGAGCTAATGTTTCTGAAATTATGCAGTATATCACTGAACCGTATTAAAATTTAAGTGACTTCACGTTGAATTAGATGATATAGAAAAGCTGGCTGCAGGAAGTTTTTTTTTCCTTCCGTTCCCCAGTGAAACATAGGGCTTCAAGCCAGTGGCTTGAAGTTTCTGTAGCAGTGTCTATTTTACGGGATGGGGTTGCTAGCCTCATGCCCAACCTTTCCACTTCATCAGCATTATTTCTGGCTTAGCAAGGTAAAGGAGTTCGTCGGCCGGGGATCGAACTCCGAACCATGTGCATGGTGGGCGAGCATCCTAACCGCTGTGCCACCGACGCACTGGCTGCATTATGTTACACACTGCTAATCAAAATCTGTCAGTTAGCGTACTGGACGAAGCAAACAATCATTGACACCTGAAGGCTACAGGACTCATGTGCAAATAACTCGCGAATATCATGATGCAACTCGAAAGAATCAATTAAAAAAGAAATACTAATTTTCGTCCTGTGGTTTATTTTGGTTTCTAATATGCAATGGAGGTCTGCTTGCCAGTCATTATTTCACTTTCAAAAGAGTTTATTATGAAATAGTTTCTTCCTACAGTATTATTTTGCAATTAACTTGAATTCATAAGCTTAGCTATGATTCACTGAGTTAGAGAAAATTTTATTTTACCTGAAGACGGAAAGATAGTTAAAATCTGAGTCGTAAGGATTTGAACTGTTAGCCCAATATGCATTCCAATAAATAGTTATACAGTTGTAAGCTTCTTAAGTTACATAAATTTGGATCTAAAAACTCTCTGAGTGACAATTCTTATATTTGTTGGCACTTTATTTTGAACGACACGTAATGTATATGGGAATCTTTCGATAATTAACCTCAAAAACTTACTGTCTGTATGAAGGAAAGGTTTAAATGATTTGATTTTCTACATTTATTTCAGAGCATATGGCCTTCTGATCTACCAAAGGTGCCTGCTGTAACAGTCTGCGGTAGTACTGACTTCACCAGTGATTATACATCGGAAAGTCCTCGTGCTTTTACAGCATTCGGTTGGAGTTTATCGGGTTCATCAGATTTGGATGGGAATAATGCACCTGATCTTGTAATTGGTGATTATGAAAGTGACCAGGTATGTGATTTATTAATTAACTAGGTATTTTGTACAGTGGTTGGTTATCTTTTAATGAAACCACAGAACCTAATTATCTGAAGGCCAGACCTACAAGTATGTATCATGGGTTGACAAAGAATACAGGTGTCATTGGATTCCACCGCAAGTGTTTGAATGGGCAAAGTGATCGGTCTCAAGATCTAGGTTCGATCCCTAGCAGGATCGTGAATGTGTGCTACCAAAGTGTTCCAAAAATGGGACAAAACAGTTTACCAGTGCTCCGTGGTTTTCAGTGATTTCTTTCAAAAATCTAACAAGTGATATTTAGAAATTATTAGGAATTCAGACAAAGATGTAGAAATGGCATGACAGTCAGTAGTTTGAAACAAGAAATCACAACTCAAATATTGAAGCTGGGAGGGACACAAGTAACGAATACATCTGCACTGCTGCAGTAGATTTTTAGTCATATAATCTAGGATTCCTTGTCATAAGTTCTGTGTGCAGACAAGCTTCATCTGAAAAGTAACTTTATAGATCTAATCGCAGTTACACTAATGTGGTACATTAAAGTAGACTAAGAACCGGTAAGCATAATGCGAAAAACAGCCACCTTGACTTGTAGAGACTTATAACTACCTCAGCTACTTTATCTAGGAATTCACATCTAAATATGTGTGTTGCTAATGGGATTATTCCATCAAAAGGCACTGGAATTCACATATATTGTCTTTTTCCATATTCTGGAACTTGTACACTAACTAGAGTATTATTCTGTGTGTGAAATTCAGTCAAATCACAATAAAATATGAAACACATGACATCATTTGGTAATACTGTGAAGGAAAACAACTGAGATATTCAGTAACACTACCATTCTCGATTGTATAAAGTGAAAATACAGTTTGGTGATTATCAAGACCAGACTATTCAAACCAAACTGACAGAGTAAAGCAAAAGTTCATTCGGCACTGCCACTGGTAGATAGATAGTTAAGATAACATTTAAAAAGTATAATAACATAAATGTAAGTCGCTAAAATACTCATTATCCATTCTACTAAAGGGAATGCAATACCCTTGACAGAGAATCTCTGTAGGTAACTGATCAGCTGATATAATGACATTCAAAATCACATGAGAAACAACCAGTGAAACGAAGACAACCTATCCGTACATGTATATATACTAAACGTCACAATATGTGAAAATGTCAAATGCCCAACTGTGATGCAATTATCCACGGTTTGACAACAATTAGTCTGACTTTATTATGAAAATATTTAGACAGAATACAGGAGGTAAACGAGCTATTAAGTGAACTAAGCAATTTTAAAAATAACTCTCTTATATCACATGCACTACTTCTACTTCGCATATTTTCATTCCTGTTTTTGATGTAAATGGCATCAGATAAATGTTGATATACCAGGATACCTTGTCTTTTCTTTAAAATTTTTCTGAGTATCAACGTGGCAAATATACAGGTAGACACCAAAACGTTACTCCTTTTTGTGGTGCCTAGATGTTCCAAAAAAATTCTGAATTTACTTATTCTTTTTTGTGAATTAATCATTTACAAGTATTGGTTTGCAGGCATTCTGACCGATTTCAAGAGTGATTGCGAAGACTGGGGAGTACTAAATAGCTATTTCGTCCTTGTTTGGGAGTCTTTGGAATTATGACCGTCCTAGGAGTCGAACGCAGGACCTTCAGGTTATAAGGTGAACTCATAGAGCATTCAGAATTGATGGGCCATTGCATTCCATTCTAGCACCTAAATGGTCATGCAGCCCACCTCGTAACCTGAAGGTTCTGTGTTCGACACAGTCGGGTCATAGATGCGTGTCTCTGAAGAGTCCGAAGCTGGGACGAAACAGAGGTGTCCGTTAGTTCTAACTTAGAGACACAATGTACACCAGTACTATTTTCATCAATCAGTAGTATGTGTCATTTTGCATTTCACTTGATCACATGATATGGAATAAAATTGTGGTTAGACTTCACCTCTGCTATCTAACTATTTTCAAGTATTGGTTTTGTAGGGATTTTGTTTGATTGCATGAAGGATTTCATCATGAGCTGACATCAGTTAGAGAACCACTGAAAACATGGGAGTACTGGACAGCTGTTTCGTCCTAGTTTGTGACTCTTCATCACTACGCACCCACCGGGATTCGAACCCAGGATCTTCTGGTTACAAGGCGAGCTCGTAGACCATTGAGCCACTGGGACCCGATCCAATGGTGAATTGGCAGAAGTTAGAATTCAAGGACCATTGGATCGGGTCCCAGTGGCTCAATGGTCTACGAGCTCGCCTTGTAACCAGAAGGTCCTGGGTTCGAATCCCGGTGGGTGCGTACTGCTGAAGAGTCCCAAACTAGGACGAAACAGCTGTCCAGTACTCTGAGCTGGTTTTCCAGTGGTTCTCTAACTGATGTCAGCTCATGATGAAATCCTTCATGCAATCTAACTATTTAACTGCATTTCTACTACTATTTCTCCCGGTTGAAAGAATTTTAAAAAAAGCATAATGTTTCTTTCAAAACGAATGATTTCGTTTAGTTTAACATGAAGTAGGTAGTATAGTTTAAATTTATTATTTGTGGTGTAACAGTTCTACCTTTGTGTTTGAATACAAATCAACACAGAAGGTAGAAATTGATCTGTATGATTTTTTTAAAATGTAGTAATTAACATCACAGTAAATCATTAAACAAAACAGACAGACGAATAAACAAATAAAACTGATAGATTTTAACTTACACCTATGCTGTATTAACATATGAAAAGAGTTGATATGATTTTTGTATACTAGCGAACACCAACGAATTATATATATGCCTTCTAATTATTATTAATATTATTAGTCGATGCATAGTTTGGTAATAAAGGTGTGGTTAGCTTGAGATGCGAAGCTTTCTGAAAACTAAGTCTGTTGTATTGCATTGACTCTGTGCAATTCAGAAGTCTTTACAAAAAGTTCTGTTCTTACCGCAAGATAATATACCATGCATGATATAGCAATCAATGAACTGCATCACATTAGACCTGAGAAGAGCTATTCACCAGTGTCGCTGCATAAAAACAGCAACTGGCTAGTGCAGTGATTCAATGGCATTTGGAGTGAGAATCAGGGAATCAACGATGGCTTGCTTCCTTTGAAACCTGATTTTCATAGTACTGATCGTTTGCAGGCTTTACGATGTATTCTGTTAAAGAATCCTGAAGTGTGGATACACGGTTATTCAAGTGGTACTCTTTTTCATCGGAGAATGTACTCTGTAAACTTATGAATACTCACACTGACACAAAATAATGTATAGGGAATTTTATTGAGGAGTTATAGCACTCACCTCTTTATCTGAAATGCAGAAGTCCTCTCACAATTAATTCTCCTAAACTGAACATAGAAAGAGTTTGAGAAGTGCCAACAAGACAGATCTGATTTTAAGGGGGAAACCAGTGGGAATCCAATGCGATTTTACGGTTATACCAGTGATACATGAATGTGCTGTGAAATTTGTTTTCAAATTAGTACATTATTTGTCAATAACTTACAGAATATTTATTGAGATAGATTCATGAGCTTGGGTTTCAAGTCTTCTTACCTCTGAAATGAAATCGATATGTTTATAATATGGCGTCAGTAGATACACAATTATAAATGATGCTAAATCAATTACCATTATACATGTTCACGTATGGATATGTAAATATCACTGTGTAGTCAGAAGAATAATTATTATGAGACTACACTGAATTCGAATGTCAACTAACAGAAGTGTTACATACACATGGAAGAGGCGAAATTAGGCAGTTTGTCTTTTATTCCCGAACGCAGAAGAGGAGTGGTTTTAAAGATACAGAGTAACTGAGCAGCAGGGAATGCTCTTTTTACCGCATTTCTAAGGCGCTGTGTTAGCATCTCACTGGTGTTGTCTCCTAGGAACTGCATCTGTAAGAACAAGGCCCTTTTTGTAACTGTTGGTAACTTGGGCTGTTTTGGTTTATTTAAAAAACGCTAATATTGTTATTAACTACTAATTTAAAATATTCTGTGTATATAAACATATATATATAATTGTAGAGCCTGGAAGAGGAATTTAACGAAAAGAATATTCTTTGCTCGATTATTTTGTGTTTTATAGAAGTGTCAAAATTAAATGAATTTCCCACACGATAATCCATATTGCCTAAATGTATTCTCTCCTTTTTTATGTGAATATTATACAGGTTGTAATGCTTCGAGCACGTAACACTTTATGGTTTGATTCTGCTCAATGGGAACTGCCTACACAACCTACATTATCATGGTTAAGTGAGGATGGTTTAACTTGTGATTATGAATGCAGTTTTCCAATGCAATTATCTGTCAGAATCAATGGTAATCAACAACTTTTGAAGCAAATAAAGGATTGGAAGCTTCGGCTAATGATCGATTTGGATTCAGATGTTGAACAACCTGAAAATAAACGTCTCATCGTAAGATCTGTTAGAAAACAAATGTATGAACATTCACTTGTCAAAGGAGTTATCGATACGTTAGTGGATTTAAAAACCAGTGAATTAAATGATGAATATGCTAATAGAATAGTTTTATTCGACTTTGTTGTTGAACCTTTACCAGGCAGAGTTAGTACGCTTTTATGGAAACCTGTACGTATCAATGTAACTCTCAGTCCAGTTATGGATCCAATGTCTTTTGTTGAACATAAATCAATATCTTCATGGATGTTACATCCTTTTCTAGGACAACGGTATTTTGTCAGTCGGTCAATGCAATTTTCAAATCCAGCTTGTGGTGTAGATAACATTTGTCGACCTGATTTACAAGTACAAATGACAGATATTTCAGAAGGTCCAACTGATAAGTCAATAATCTATTTTAGAGAACGTGTTACTCAAAGGAATGTAACTGTTTTTGTAGGCAATTTAGGAGAAAATGCTTACTCTACTAAGTTACTGATGACGTTCCCTGATCAGCTGAGTTTCAGCATACCTGAAGGATTAATGTGTGAAACTATTCCGCTAATTGAGCATAAGGTGAGTGAAATTCTTTCTCTGAATGTCTACAACAATAATAGTGGTTAAAATGAATGCCAATGAAGTTTATCTTCAAGGGTTTCTTTAAGTGGAAAGATTTTCATTATTACAGAAGTAGAATTTTGAATTTGCTTTTAGTTTCCCTACTGTCTGCTACTTGATATCGCTGTGAATTGCATCTTTGTGATGTTTGTTTGATGGCACTCATATCCTGGGTACACTTTTGACTGTATTTAGTACCCGGCATCTAGGCACATCTGCACCCGAAACAGCACTCGTTCTTAAACAATTTCAAGACATCTGTTCAAGTAAATATTTAAACATCACCTCCGGTCATTATAAATCCCTGAATTATCAAAAATTACGAAGAAAGACATATCTTAAATATGTGCTTAATACTTCCCTAAAAAATGTTGAATGATGGTAATAAAACAAAGTAAATTTATATAACAAACATTTAAAATGAAAAAAATTTACATTTACCCTCTCGAATGACTCATTCAATAATCAATTTAACATGGTTTTCACCCCAACATATATATCTGAAGGTCACGAAATTTTAAGCGCTAACTGACGATTCAAACTATGACTGCGTTGTGTCTGTATACAACATTGTTACAGAATGTTTAATCGAAATCAAGTGATTCGTGGGATAAAATTAGGTCGTTAGTCATGGCTATGAAATTTACGGAACAGGCTATTTTTCTTCTGCCTACAGATTTATTATATTCGACATAAAGAAGAAGATGAAGAAGGAAAGATTGAAAAAGCGTTTCAACAGTTGTTCTAACCACTCACCATCAATTTTTCATTTCTGTCTTCAAGCCTTGTATCCATTTTTTAAAAAATTTACAGTGATTTTGTAAATGGTACAGAAATTAAATTATATTAGTCATCAATCTGATGAAAGGACTATTTTAAGAGATAACTGTTTTAACTATTATACTTATCTTAACTGTTTAGGTAATCTACTTATTATTTTAGAAGCCTGAAATTACACCACTAGTCCGTGTTATAGTTATAGTTTCAATTCCAATTGAACTAGATAAAATCATATAGTTTATAAATAAGTGATCATTCGTTGGAGTATTTCGTTATTCTCTCATCCTGGAGAGAATAAAAGATGCACTGGATACAGAACTACGCCCGACTGGAACAAGCTGGATTTAGGAAAGGCAAATCATGTGGTGATCAAATTGCAACTATAAGCGTTATCATAGAACAAAGCATAGAATGACAGTCAAACCTCTGCCTTTACTTCATCAGTTTCAAAAAGGCCTTCGACAGACAGCGTTGAGCGGAAGTAATTTGAAAACTACTCCAACATTAAGGAGTTCAGCACTCCAAATTTAAATTAACTTCATTCGACAGCTATATGACAATGCAACGTGTCAAGTAATCCACAACAGAAAACTTAACGAAGCCTCTGAAGTGAATACAGGAGTAAGATAGGACTGTCTATTATCACTGATGATATTCTTAATTGTGGTGGACTGGATTATGCGTCAGACTGTGCACAGGGAGTGAGAAGACAGGTATACGCTGGACCGACCGATAAGAAGACTCTAGAAGATCTGGATTTCGCAGGTGACTTACTTTTAATTCCGTACAAACTCGAAAACTTGCAGGTAGGCAAAAAACTAGCAAACTGGCAGAAGAAACACGCATAGAAGACAGGACTCCAGGTGAAAACAGAGAAGACGGAGGTAATGGAGATAACCAACCAACAGCAACAGCAACAACACTATCAACGGGAGAGATTTGAATGAGGTTACTTCCTTCACTTATCTGGCCAGGAGGCATGGTTTCAACCACAGTCAGTCGGAACGGATGAAGAAGTCAAAGCTAGCCGGAATCGGAAAGGCAAAATACGCCCTGACAGAGCTGAAATCAGTTTGGAAATCTTCTACACTCAGCATCAAGAACAAGATTCGGACTTTCAACACAAATGTGAAATCAGCCAATGTTTCTGTATGGGTCAGAAACTTGACCAGCGTATCACGAAAAAGATTTCCAACAGGCTACTGTAGACGTTTGTCAACAGCTGCCTTCGTTGGCTGGCTCCATACTGAAGATCGAATGGGAGGCCAGAAAGAATTGGCAACAAGAAACTCTGTCGATGAATAAACCAAACAAGAACCTGTCGTCCAACGAATATGTAAGAGAAAATGGAGATGGTTAGGATGAGACCGTCCAATGACAGAGCGTGCGACGCAGGTCGAGTGGGACCCCAATGGGAAAAAATGAGTGGGGACTTGGTCCGAGGGTGACGTGGAAGAGATCATTTGAAGAGGAGATAAAAGCCTATAGGAAATCAGTGAGCCAGCTAGCAAGAATTGCAAAGAACAGAGTGCAATAACGGTGTGCTGTTGAAGCTCTATGTTCTACTTGGAACTGAAGGAAATAATAATAATACTAAATCGGCGTTAATTAAAGCATTAGGAGGACCATTCAAGCAAGACTTAATCATCATTACACCATTCAGCTTCATTTATGTCAATGCTTGCAGAAAAAATGAGTGAACTCTTTCGCTCTAAGAGTGAAATATATATGCATAGCATCTTTTTGAAATAATTCGGCAACAATTTCAGTGCAATACGACTGCAAACAGATACTGAAATTATTATGATTCAGTAAAACAACCTCAGTTAATTATTTAATAATGACAAGCACAAACAATAAATAAAGTGAACCTCTATGCTCATAATAACTTGCATTTTGTGACTCAATAACATCTAGTGGAGTGGTTTCAAACTTGCAATTAATCAGTCTGAAAAATAAGATACCTAAACTTCGTTCATCATGAAGCTTTTCCTGTATTTGATCAGATTCCCAATTGAATTTCATTTATAAATCCACGTTTCAACAAATTTCCACCCTTTCCCTGTACATATTTCATTTGTGCTAACGCTTGTTGTTGTTAGGATGGAATGAGGACCAATAAATCCATATCTTTCTCGTACTAGATATTTAAAGCGATCTTTTCGTAAACTTTATTTCATCGTAATGCACATGATTGCAAGAGTATTATCTTTAATTACAGAGACGACAATAATCTTGGGCTTAACGTTTATTTCTACTATCTTGTCTTAAAGCTCCATCAAGCCTTCATCTTTTCATCCGTTATTGCTCTTTTTTAGTTCCTTTGTCGTTCTATTTATTCATGTGTTTTTGTTATTTTATTTGACTGGAGAAGTTCAGTCTTCATGATTATCATGAGAAATCAAAATGATGCAATGCTACTTCAAATTTGACGTCAAATCAGGCAGTGTACCATTTGGAATATTGGGTCTTCCTACTATAACACACTATGGTGTTATATCAATTCAACTTTCGCCTCTTCTAAATAAAGGCTGAGAATCTACACTGGACTCTGTAAACTTTTAACAGTAATTTACTAAATAAGAACCATTCTTTAGAATACTAAGATAATCGGATGATGAACATTACTGTTATTCCTCCCTTGATTTTCAAGTGAAAATATAGAGCTTCAGTAGCGCATGGACATTTCATTCTGTCCTTTGCAGGCTTACGTAACTGCCCCCATGACTGCCCATAAACTTCTATTTTCTTTTCATGCGACCTTCCCAATGTCACCTTCGGACGTCTAACTCATTGCTTCCCTCCGTTCGGATTCCACTAAAGAATATAGCGTCTCATACCACTTACTGGTCTTCTCTGCGTATGTTCAGTCTATCTCCATTTCCTGCTACACATTTATTGGGCAATGGTTTCTTGGCTGATTCGTTACCCACCATATCCCCTCGTTGCTTATTCTTCGTGGCCGGTCTTCTGATCAGGAGTACCTAACCAAGGTAGTTAGGTATTGGAAATGCTATTCGTGAACCGTTCACCAAGCCTCTGAACCGTATAAAAGTACCGAATTGACACGCGATTGATACATTCATCCAATGGTTGTCATTAATAAAATAGTTTCCATAATGTATGCCATATTACTTAGGAATTAAAACAAGTGAATACAGAATGGACTATATGGAAAAATAATACTTCTTAAAATAAATAAATAAAGCCTTCTGTCTTCTTTCCATGATACACTTAAAACAATTTATCAACTGAAAATGATTACATGCTCTTAAAACTGTACCGTTTTATGCTTGACTATATATGTAGTGTAAACAATTATATTTTTTATATATCCAGTAAAATAAACCAGTGTTGCATAAACTTTTATCCTGCACACTTACTGTTGTATATCTCAAATTATTTTTGGTACCTATTTATTAATATTTGGACAGATGTTTAGGTGTTAAACAAAGTCACATGCTGTTACATTATTCAAACAATATTCTGTCCTTCTTTCTATTTATTATAGCAAACCCAATTATCATGCAATTTAGGCGATCCATTAGGCTATACAGGAATTGAAGACGTGTATTCATTTACATTTCAAATAAATACAGCTGGAGCATTTCGTCAGTTGGATGAACCATTAAATGACCAGCCAGAAAATGTCACATCAAGTAATAATAATAATAATGATCAACAGCAATTTGATGATATTACTACTCAACAGCGTATACCAGATTCACTAAAAGCCATGAAAAGCAAACAAAACAGTGTGGAAAGGGATTTCGATACATCACCAACACCCTCATCATTATCATCAGTGTGGAGTGAAAATCGTTACAACCTAAACTCATTCCCCACTTACCAATCATATGATCAACATTATAATAATAATCGAGTGAAACGCAGTACATCATCGATACCTAAAGAATTGACAATAACAGCTGAAGTTCACAGTGGAAATGAAGATATCAATAAGAATAATAATAAGGCTAGTTTATCATACAAGCTGAAATTGGCTGCAAAAGTTGAAGTAAGTCTCAACGACACTTTTACTGAGTGAATTTAAGTGTAGTTTAATACATCTAAGAAATGCTTTTGAAAAAGATAAAACAGATTGGTTACAACTGTATATATGGGCAGTTGGTTAATTTGGGATCTAATTCTTCCTCAGAAACTTATTTTCGCTCGGTTTCTTTTCCCTTTAAGTACTCTTTAGATTGGATCTATGCTCGTATCATAGTCAAAAGAACCGAGTTTCGGTAAGCCTGAAAGTGCCGAAATGACATCTTTTAGCTTAAACACTTATTAAGAAGTTTGAATTAAATTCCACTTTACCACCCTTATATATTATATTATTGTTCCCTTGGGTTCCTAGTGGAACATAGGGCTTCAACTGCACGTCTCCACTTGTTTCTGTCTTCTGCTGTACTTTTCACTTGCATCCATGTTAGTCCATACTGCTTCAATTATTCTTCACACGATCTACTCCATGTCACTCTTGGACGTCCCACTCGCCGCTTACCTTTCGGGTTCCACTCAAGCTATGGCCTGACGCGCGATGTCACCCAGCGGCCTCCTCAACGAGTGTCCAATCCATCTCCACTTTCTTCTGCATATTTGTTGGCCGATTGGTTCTTGTTTTGTTTGTTCCCATAGTTTCTTGTTTGTGATTCTTTCCGGACATCTGATCTTCAGTATAGAGCGAGGAGAGTTGTTGATAAAGGTCTGCAACAGGCTGTTGGAAATATTCTTTGTGACCCGCTGGCCAAGTTTCTGATCCGTATGGAAGAACTGACTGACTTGACGTTTGTATTGAAAATCTGAATTTTGTTGTTGATGCTGAGTGACGAAGATTTCCAGATTGTTTTCAGGTGGATGAATGTGTTTCTCGCCTTCCCGATTCTCGATTTGATATCCTCGTCCATTCCTCCTGTAGTTGAGACAATGCTCCCTAGATAAGTGAAAGAAGTAACCTCTTTCAAGTCCCTCCCGTTGATGGTGATTGGCGCTGGATGTTGCTGTTGTTGTTGGTTGGTTATTTTCATAACCTCCGTCTTGTCTATGTTCACTTGGAGTCCTGTCTTTGCTGCTTCTTCGACCACCCTTAAATCACTAATATGTAACTTCTATGTGAAACAATGATTGGCGACACTATTACATATTCAAATCTTAATCATAAACATGGGCAATAATTCATCTGTTGATGGTTCATGTCTTCAGGTTATTTACACCTCCTTCCAAATGCACGAGTCACAGTTTACACAAGCATTAATAGTAGCGAAGTTTTTTGATATTAGATGGTTGGAGGCAGTCGGCAGAAAGCCTTGGACCTAGGTTTTGTATTAGTTGGCACTCGTTAGCAAGGCGTATCTGCAACCTTGGAGGCACTCATGTCCCTTCTGTACCAACTAAAGGACTAGACATATTACACTAGTCACTAACTAGTGTCCAGTCAAAGTGAAGTCGTTTAAATAAGTATGAAGTGCAATACATATATGAACATTTTATCAACGCTTCTTACACTTTTTAAAAATTTACCCTGCATATTCTCCCTTATATTAAATATTTTTAAGCTTTCATCGTCGGCGTTGGATCGTACAATTATTGATTTTCGTAATTTCTCTGTACAACCTTATGAAATGCAAAGAATACACCCGGAAACTATTGGTCCAGAATTGAAACATGTTTATCTTGTTACAAATGCTGGTCCATCACCTCTTGAAAGTTTTTGGGTCAATTTAACAATCCCGTTGCAGACAAGAGATGGTGAACATTTGGTTTATTTACTCGATCGGCTTAGATATCAAGCAGAAGATGGTGGACCTCCAAGATTTGAAAACATGTCACCAGATGTATGTCTTGTTCTGATTTTTTTATTGTTTAATGGTCAGTAAGGATATTCACTTTTGAGTTATTTATTTATTTTTTTAAATAGTGCTGTTTCAAATAATAGTATCTTCAGCGCTTTCCCTATTAATGTTTTTCAAATTGAAAGTGACATACAAAACAACCAAATCTTTCTAATTTTGTTGTAGTCATTTCAGAAGCAGTGCTAAACTCTAAGAGAACCAGTTGGTACAAATCCAGCTGAAAACTGTTTAATTTATGTGTCAATAAACACCATAGTAATCTTCCTGTCATTCATGGTGACACTAATAGATCCTTCTGAAAGGTAATTATTTTGCCAACAAAATAATTCGAAAAAAGCATAAATTTGTTCATTCATTATATGACCGGTTAACGAATAAATTTGTTTTGTTACCGGGTGTTATCAAAAAGATAAAAGGCCTCTCTCACGAAGTAGTCATAAGTGAGAATCTTTCAAAGTGAATCCAAGGCTAGTATCACTTTTAGTGACACCGTATCGGAATTCAGATTCATCAACTAGTTAAATAAGGCTACACTTAGAGAGTCTGCTACTGTACGTTTCTAGCCGTACTCCACTTCTTATGATTCAAGTATACTGAAACGCAACAATAAGAATTAATATGGTTATGAATATTTCCTAATGTCTACTATAATATTTGACAAGTTTTAACCACTTTGTGTAATATTTGACCAACGTATTTTTGCCTTCTGAAAAAGTGGTGTCAATACTGATAACCTTTTGTGAGTTCCAGTAAGAACTAGTGACCTATACGATCCCACAAGACGAGTGCTGACGGTAAATGTATTGGTTCCGTTATATCAAGAAATGGTACCTCAACTGCATAATCTGATGCTCGCTAGTGACTTGCTACAGGATGGAGTTTCCCGCAGTTCTAGTGAGAAGTCGTGACCAGTGAGGTCCAATTAGATGTCACGTGTGTGGATGGATGTCCCACCAACGACAATGGTTGGGGTCGCGCTAAATCAAGAATTGATAGAAGTTAGAATTCATGAGCCGTTGAATTGGGTCCCAGTGGCTGAATGGTATACGAGCCAGCTTGCCTTGTAACCGGAAGGTCCTGGGTTCGAATCCCAGTGGGTGCGTACTCCCGATGATTCCCAAACTAGGACGAAACAGCAGCTGTCCAGTACTCCTTGGTTTTCAATGGTTCCCTAACTGATATCAGTCCGTGATCAACTCGTAAAAACATAACAAACCCTTACGAACCAAACTATAGAAAATATTTGTTAATTACACCCCATGTATTTATTAAATTTATCATTAGACACCAAGCAAACATTTTCTGATTCCATAACCTTTAGCTAAACATGTTTTTTTAAATTTCAGGTTGTCAGTGCAGAAGGCCATGTACGCGGATTTTGTATAACACCTGAGTGGGCACTTAATCCCCTTCGACTAAATGCTGTTCATCGTAGTCGTCCTGAAGAGTTTTCCAGGTCTCAGTCGTTAAGACGAAGTTATAGATTTAGACGTTCAGTAAAGTGGAAGGCAAGAGAGAGATTACCCTCTGTACATGAAAAGGAACATACCCCTGCTTATCAAGAAACAGAATCAAAAGATGCAGTTAGAACAACTAGATCAATCCTTCATGGTATTAGAAAACGTCAGCAAGAAATTGTTAAGTGTGGAGAAAAAATCTCTGAATTGGGTTATCCAGTTTGTGCAGTTGTAAGTTATTTCTCAAGTGTCTTCTTTTGAATGATTCTCCTTGTTCTGGGTCATCATATGAGTTAAAATAGTTTCAAGCAATCTAATATACTGCCTGATCTTACAATAATGTGAAACAAGGGCTACCAGACTACCAGACTGTTTCTTAGATATATCTCAGACTAAAGATAAAATCTCTATGGATTGAAATAAGATAATTTCATTTATTTATTTTTCTAAATGTTTGTCCAACAAATTCTTTTGGTATGAAACTAAGCCGCACCCAGTAGTGATTCATCAAAAGCCGAAGCACCATGCTGTGGTTGTAGATGCTTTTGGAAAAAAGCTATTGAGTTACAATAATAAATACTATCTAAAATGAGATAAATTTTGAGGAAATTGACTCGACTTTAGTAGCCAACAGTTTGAACACCGACAAAATCCACCGGTATCTTGCCTCTTACCACCAACTCAAAGTACTTCACTACTCTAGAAGAGAGTATATTTTTATTCCAGCTAGTTAAATCTTGTCTTTGGATTGGTGAGCTTAGTTTATTCAGTAGTTTGCTGAAACCATCAGAATTGTTTCTAAGGTCTCATATGACTTCAAAAAACCTTACCCACCTTTTGTAACTTATTTGTAAACGGTATTCATATAAAATGAAGTCTGTCCTTTGTAAATCATGATGAGACTGCTGGAGAAGGGTTATGGGCCAAGTTAAACTTTAAGCACCACTAACTACCAATAGATTGCGACCGCACCAATGACCTTGGAACGCTCGCTGAGCAAGTTAGTGAAACCTGGCAAATAATGTTGTCACCATCAGTAAAATATGCTCATCGAAGTGTCATGCTAATAAACAGGATATCTGGCAAGTTTCAGCTTAGGTTTGGGAAAAATTAAGTTTCGCTTTAAGCCACGGATAAGTTAGGGTAAAGCTGATAAAGGCGACATTAGGCTTGGTTAGAGTTAGATTACATTTAGTTTAAGGATATTTTGACGTTAGGGTTAGATTCAGAGAAGTTTAGGGTGATTGTAAGGGTTAGAAGACCTAAGTAATTACATGCATAGGGTCTAGTTAAATTGATGTGTTGATATAAGAATAGAACTTGTGCACTGTGGTCGAGTATAACTCTATTGTGGGTAAAATTTATTTTGATAAAATCTCACAGTGTCATACAGTAATATTTACTGATGACGTCTCGAGCACAAGTTATTGCTCAGTAAATATTACTGTATTACACTATGAAACTTTATCCACAATGGAATTATACTCTGTTGATACTCCAACCTGAAACTGAGAGCTATTTTTGTCACATGTGAGAGGAAGGTATCCTCTGTAGCACTTTTATACAGTTTTTATGCATTTTTTTCTAAATATAGGTATTCCATACACATAAAATGTTTCCTTCACGTGATTGGTGCGTTCGAGGTCATTCGCTGATTGGTAGTTAGTGGTGCTTAAAGTTTATTTTTGCCGGATTATGATAATTGTATTCAAATATACAGAAATCAGGTGAAAACTAAAAGTTGTGTGCACAAATATTTCAATCAATATTGTCAACCACCTCAACTTCTAGGGAAATATTCTCAAAACTTGTACTCAAATGTTTCACAGTGAAGTATTTGTTGTTCAACCTGCATACACTAGTCAACTTTATTTCTAAAAAACAGAAAGATTGAGCGAAGAAATATTTACTTTTCAATTAGATCCTCTTCTTTATTTCTAATTTCTCTTGCTGTATCGAATTTACGTCTAAATATCGATAGAACCAGGCCATATTTAGTATGCAATTTAGTACCAACCTGTCATTAACTGTAACTACTTTATGCGCGACATATCAGTGTACACAACGTTTCATCAAAATAAATGTAGACTGAAAGAAGTGGCACCATCGAGGATCTAATACCCTAAAGACAAATAGTTTCCTTTACGGTATTAGGCCTTGTATCAGCCACTTTTTTAGTCAGTAATTTACTCACACAAAAATAGTTTTCCATAACCCTTACCAAAACAACAGAGTTTTAGTGCTACCTTGTTGAGAATATTCGTACTGATTCTCACGTAATTTATAGTTATTTTTCGTCAAATAATTTTACTGTTCATGACGTATTTTGTACTTGGAATACTTTCAGAGGCATTTTTGGGTCAGTTTTGTAAATTTGGTATGTTATTATAGTTAAACAGAACCAAGGATTCTATCACATCATAATATGTTTTCTCTCTTGTTCGAATAATTTGAAATGTGCGTTACTTGTGGAAGTTTGATGGGCTATACAGAAGAATGCGTCGAGTGGTTCCAGCTTTCACACTGAAATACTTGAGTTGTGGTAGTTACAGATTTTGAGTAGCTGTTTAGAATTAATCGCCGAGGTTGTTAGAACACAGCTAGACAGTTATGAAAATCTCTACATTGTGCAGAAATATTCTCGTTTGAAGTACTGAAGTACATAGTTATACAACTATCACAACAGACCAACTCTTGTCACTGTACAATATAAATCACCAAAATATTAACTCACTATTGATGTAGAATAAAATCTTGCTTGTTTATTACTCAAATGATAGTTGTGTCAAGGCACAGCATGACAGTTAACTAAAATCTACGAAGATCTACCTTCGTTTCACTTCAAGCTACTGATTACAGTTATCCCCAATGGTATCCAATATGTTTTGTGGTAGGTTACAGGACTTCATCATGAGCTGAGATTAGTTGGAGAACCATTGGAAAACCTGAGAGTACTGGACAGCTGTTTTGTTCTAGTTTGAGACTCTTCATCAGTACGCACCTACCGGGGTTCGAAACCAGGACCTTCTGGTTACAAGGCGAGCTCGTAGACCATTAAGCCACTGGGACCCGATCCAATGGCCAGTCCATGAATTCTAACTTCTGCCAATTCATGACATAGCGCGACCCCTATCCAATGTCTTCGGCGAGTATTTGTCCTCACACCCGACCTGCTGTACCCTACTGGTCACGACTTCCTAGCGGTTGCGCTATATCATGAATTGGCAGGAGTGGGAATTCATGGGCCGTTGGATCGGGTCACAGTGGCTTAATGGTCTACGAGCTCACTCGCCTTGTAACCAGAAGATCCTGGGTTCGAACCCTGGCGGTGGGTGCGTACTGTTGAAGAGTCTCAAACTAGAAAGGAACAGCTGGCTGTTCAGTACTCCCAGGTTTACCAATGGTTCTCTAACCAATGTCAGCTCATAATGAAATCCTGTAACCAATCAACCAAATCCCTACAAACCAATACTTGAATGTTTTGTGGTAATTTGTTCCAAATGAATTTATTTACATTTCATAGATTGCTAATTAAATTACGACTCTTCTTTCAGGCTATACCATAATTCAGTAGGGAAAGAACAAACATCATTCTAGATTTCATGCCAACCTTTTGTCACGTGTGTGGTTTTCACATTCTAAGTTTTAATTGCATGTTCAACTTTACTGACTGGAATTTTCTCCTGAATATTTTTAAGAAGTAGATTGCAGTAGACTTCATTTCTTCTCCGACACTCAAAATAGAATTAGTTTAAACGAGCCAGCCTATACAAAATAACACTGACAGTATGCGTTATTTGTCTGGAAATAGGCTATTTTAATGTATACCTTATGCACATCAAAGTTTCTGTTTTGTTGGTAAGCATTTTTTTATTTACAGAAAATGATTTGCAAATTCAATGTGATGCATTCCTAATTGTCTAGCACACATCATAGTTTTCTTTTTACCAGTCTAGTATATTTCCCATGGAAAAATACCACAATATTCCTGTCACTGGTCTCAATTACAGTTTTCTAAGGAATTCATAACTAAACAGACGTTAAAAACTTAAAATATGACGTAATGTAGTGAAAACAGTGTCATCTTATGTGTACCGCATACCTTAAGGGAAGTTGTATTTAAAATTTCACACGATCGATGATTGTAGACGTCTTTAAACTGACTGTCATTTAAACTACCAGGCATGATGGTGTTGAAATATATAATTCCTTTCTCTCATTCACTACTTAACCTCAGCTCATTGATATTTTCATGGATTTGTAAGATAAATGTTAATGATCAGATTTCATATCCTACATCCCCTTCACTGCTTAGATTACAAATTTAAATTTGTTAGACAGGGTTTATCTATTCTCATGTAGATCATTTAAAGTCAACTTTGATAGATGAATTCAGCAGAAGGCCGGACATTTTAAATTTTGATAAAAACTTTATTAATTATATATTGTGAGACTGGATGATGATCACTGAATTCCAGCCGATATTATTACATGCCTTCTTCTTATTGTATGTAGTTTCTTGGCTCTCAATAGTGATATCAGTTAGGTCACGCAGTTTGGTCTCAGTGGTTTGATTCACTTTAGTGAAATTTTTACATGAACTGTGTGGTATGCATATTATGAATATAACTATATACCTTACCAGTTTGTTCAGGTAACTAGATTGAATTCTTATTCTTTGAGGCGACTCAACTACCTCCAACCATTAAATATCATCAAACCAATGTGCACCGTGATGGAGAGCCACTTAGAATGGTGGCCACACTGCAGACTTGACTGATAGAATATAGTCTGCACCAAACAAAGAACTAGACAAATCCCACTAGTTACTAGTGTCCAATAAAGGTATCCAATACAGTCAGTCCCACAGAAGCTCGTTTGCGAGCCCGAATAGCTCAGTGGTAATGTCTCTGACTGCAGAACTGGGTGACACGGGCTCAAATCTCAGAAGGGACATGATCTTTTCAAGGTTTCAGATACCCCTTGCTGACTGTTGAATGCCAACTAGCACGAAACCTAGGTCAGGTGTGGCTTCCTGTGGCCGATTGCCTCCAACCATCTAATGTAATCAAAGGGATTCGACTCATTGAGCTGAATCTGACCAGGTACACTCCAGATATGATCGGCTCATAAACCAATGAAATAGCCATTGCATGTTTAGATAAATTCCATGTGACTAGTTAGAGCTACTGGCTGACATCAGCGATTTCCAACATATTCAGTAAAAATTT